CATCTTTAAATAGTGCGCCCTGCACTGTCATTGACCGGCTAGGACGCGCCCCCGGCTGTCATTGGACGCCTGAGGCGCGCCCGTGGCTCCTACTGCGCATGCGCAGGGCGTCCTGTCAGCCGCGGCTCGCCAGGACCTAGTGCCTGTGTCCCGGCGCGATCCGCCGCAAATGCGCATGCGCGGGGGACGGCGCCGCGATCCGGGACCATGGGGCCGCGATCCCTGACACCTGCACAACGATCTGGAGTCATTTTGGACCACTCCTCTTCACAAAACTGTTTCAGTGTAGCAATATTCTTGGGATGTCTGGTGTGAATCGCTCTCTTAAGGTCATGCCACAGCATTTCAATCGGGTTGAGGTCAGGACTCTGACTGGGCCACTCCAGAAGGCGTATTCTGTGCTGTTGCAGCCATTTTTTTGTTGAATTACTTGTATACTTTGGGTCATTGTCCTTTTGCATCACCCATCCTATGCGGAGCTTCAGTTGGCGGACAGATGGTCGTACGTTTTCCTGCAAAATGTCTTGATAAACTCTGGAATTAATTTTCCCATCAATGACAACAATCCGTCCAGGCCCTGAGGCAGCAAAGCAGCCCCAAACCATGATGCTCCCTCCGCCATGTTTTACAGTGGGGATGAGGTTTTGATGTTGGTGTGCTGTGCCTTTTTTTCTCCACACATAGTGTTGTGTGTTCTTCCCAAACAACTCAATCTTGGTTTCATCTGTCCACAGTATATTTTGCCAGTAGTGCTGTGGAACATCCAGGTGCTCTTTTGCAAACTTCAAACGTGCTGCAATATTCTTTTTGGACAGCAATGGCTTCCTCCGTGGTGTCCTCCCATGTACTCCTTTCTTGTTTAATGTTTTCCTTATTGTAGATGTGTCAACAAAGATGGTAGCATGTGCCAGAGATTTCTGTAGGTCTTTAGCTGACACTCTGGGATTCTTCTTTACCTCATGCAGCATTCTGCGCTGTGCTCTTGCAGTCATTTTTACAGGATGACCATGCCTAGGGAGAGTAGCAACAGTGCTAAACTTTCTCCATTTGTAGACAGTCTGTCTTACCATGGACACATGAACATCAAGGCTTTTGGAGATACTTTTGTAACCCTTTCCAGCTTCATGCAGGTCAACAATTCTTGATCGTAGGTCTTCTGAGAGCTCTTTTCTGCGAGGCATGGTTCACATCAGACAGTGCTTCTTGAAACCAGTAAACCCAAAACAGGTGTGTGTTTTTTAAGGGTAGGACAGCTGTCAGCAACACATCCAATATCATCACACTGATTGGAGTCAAGGTTGGCTCATTCCTGGCTCCAATTAGCTCTGGGAGAAGTCATTAAGCTAGGGCCTCACGTACTTTTTCCTCCCTGCACTGTGAATGTTTACATGTTATGTGCAATTAAAGCATGACAACATCTAATAGTGTAGTATTATGTTCAGCAGACTGTGTTCTTCTATTGTTGTGACTTAGATGACGTTCAGAGCACATTTTATGCCCAATTCATGCAAAACTCCACGTAATCCCAAGGGGTTCACATACTTTTTCTTGCAACTGTATAAAAGATTATCACCTATGCTTAAAAATCAAGTTAAAATTAGAATATAATTCACTTAGGAGAAAAATAAAAAATAATAAAAAATAAAATAAAAAAATAAAATAAAAATGTATATATTAATGGTTAAGATTCCAAAAAAGGGAGAAAAAAATAAATATACAAACAAAGCCATGTCATAATAAGTACTCATCCTCCCGTATCATATACAGGACATGAAATCTGCTCCTACAGATGCATATAGAATAAAATAGGGGTGATAAATAGAATAACTAAAAAATTTAAAAAAAACACAATCATATATTATATAAAGGTAGTAAACCTGTATGTGTAAAACCCATTATAAATTAATAAAATGCTGGATAGCTTATTAATAGCTGATAATACCTTTAAAGTAAAAAAATATAAATAAGTCCACCCAGGACATATAGTAACATGTCGGTGCATCATAAAAAATGAATCACGTTGGAATAGGATTTGTCAAAATTGATTCGCAATAGATTTATCACATATATTGCATAGTTAAGTAGGCACCACAATATTGGTTTTTCTATAAAAATCAAAAACTACTCTGATCTGCACTAGTCTTTGAGGGTGACAGATGGTCAAAGATCTTTTGTGTAAAGTTAACAAAATGCTCTTTCATTTCAGGTTTTCTTGCATAGGAGCACTGTAGAACAAAGAGTCTCTACTGTGCTTGCTCCCTGTTTGGCAGTCTAGGGCGTGGTGAACGAAATGGTAGGGGTGCTACCCAGTGGTTTGCTTTGTCCACAAATGTCTCCTTTTCAACTACATCAAGGAACATATGGTCTTCGATGGACATAGCAGGTCTTTCATAATTTGGAGTTCTAGTGAACACATTGTCACTTAAACTGTTCATGCTACGAACTGTTGTCCCTGAATGGCATAAGGAGGGAGTGCATGGCCGTAGTTGACAAGTATTAAAGGTCTCTATTACTCGCATATAGCTGGTGCATGGACTGAATAGAGAAGGTTGCCCATTAGGCAACATGTTTGTCATAAATTAGTTGGTCTCCCGTGTGTGAAACCCACCTAAGCATACTTCTCCAAATATGACCCAATCTAAATCTAAACATTGTGCATAAGCAGCGGTATGGGTCCATTAATCTGCTCAAAACCTTGTGCACTCTGAGAATATATCTCCCTAGCAAGAGGGGTATTTGGGCATTAGGGTCAATTGCAGGGATCTCATCTGTTAAGGATTTCAGATGAAGGAAATTTTTATTTCTAGTTTTTATTTCTGACCTGTCATCAAGCATCATGTCACATTCAATGCATTCAATGAGAGTGGGAAGTTTTATGTGTGTTTACATATCAATAGACTGAACAGTGAAGTTGGATGTCCTACACCCTGTTTTTTCCATAGTACCTGAGCATGTTTTTTGTATGAAAATGTTTCTCCACTAATGTTAAACACATCAAAGAACTCTGAGTTTGCTAATGAGTAATTACTTTGATCATCTAACACCACATACATTTTTACAGAACAGTCAGGTTTGTTAGAAAGGTATACAGTCACTAAACAAATCCTGGAACATGATCTGGACCTTGTCCCTTCTACACATATCTCCATACACTTCAATGCAACAGTTCATGTGATAGGTTCATCTTCCTCCCGCCTTGCTCTTTGTTGGTTGCTGGAGTTTCTGTTGCCCAAGAGCCTTGACCTTGATGCAAGGCCAAGGTATGCTGGGCACTACTGTACTCTCTGCATCTTATATTGACCTTGCAGTCTTTAGCAATGTGTTTGGTGGTGTGCAACATCTGAAGCAGATGGCGTAGAGGTAAGCTTTACGTTCATCAATGTACTTGCTTCTGAATCCACAACACCTTGACAGTGGGAGTGTTTTTTATGGATTGGGCATGAACTGCCTAGGTCCATGGACTTATTTTCAGAGTTGTTCAGATGTAAAGGTGCATCAGTTACTGACACCTCTGTCTTTCTGACTGACACTGATGGTCTTTTGCCATGCTTTGCGATTATCTTCTTTGCATTTGCTGACATCTTGTTACTGCACATTGAGAATATGAAGCTTGGATAATTTTTAGTCTTTGCTTGGTTGATGATAAACCAAGGTCTTCAGTCTTAACTGCATTGACCTCCAACAACAACACATCACCAAATTTGTTTAACTTCAGGTTGTCTTTGTTAGAGATTTTAAGGAAGTCTTTCAATTTCTTAAACAATGCGTTCTCAATAGCCTCAGGGCTGCCATAACAGTCCTCTAACCTCTGCCATACCATTTTAACTCCAGCAGCTAGATCATGAATGTATACAGACCAGATTCTCTTGGCCTGTTGAGATGACTCTGGTCCGAGTCACATTGTTAGCAGATCTAGCTCCTCTCTAGTAGTAGTAAGGACTGAGATCTCTGATGATGCCCAGGAAAGATTTTTTCCATGCCCGATAGTTCTCGGAGCGATCATCAAATGCTAGTAGCTGAATTGGGGGCTTTGCTAGATCAGTTGTCCCTGAGGATCCTAATGGGCCATTTCTGAAGGAGGGTATATGATAACCCATGTTGCATGATGTATGCTGAGGGTTAGCATTGTTTTTGCTTTCTTGAACTTGTACCCTTGGTGCTGGGACAGTTTCAGAGTTAATGTAAAAAGCTGGGAGCAGTTCAGGAATACTTGGAGAGGGCTGTTAGTATATCAAGTCAAGAAACCATGGGAGTGTGTTGGAGATAGGCTTGATAGAAGTATACACAGTCATAACTTGTTCCGGAGCATGCTTCTGTACATATTTCTGAATCCTTTACATTGAATCGCAAGTTGTTATTTCCTCAAGATCTTGGAGCCGATCTCCTTTCAAACCAATCACAGTTTCGGACAGTACAGCTTCTGCTGATGCTGCTACTGCAGTCCTTTCAGTCTGCAGCACATGCATACTAGCTTCTAGCTCTGCTTTCTTTCTTAAGGAGTTGGCTTCCAACTCGGTTTTCTATCACATCAAGTCAGCCTCTTTTTGAGTGTATAAGGTCTTTGCTCGCATTGTTTTTGCCTTTGTTCTTGCTTTGAGGCCTGCAGAACTGACTGATGATCTGCTGGAATACACTGAATTTCTGGAGCCAGACATGTAGTCTCTGAAGTTTGATGCAGAACGTCCACACTCCTATCTGGATCCATGATGTACGAATTAAAGTGGAGTACAATCCCAAGTACAGTTTTTCGTGTGGATTCTTTCACTTTTAAATGAAGCTCCTTTATCTTCACCTGTATACATCTGCCTTTTTACTTTGAAGCTCCTATATTTTTACCTGCTATATGTATGCCTGTTTACTATGCAGTCCTACTAACAGTTAGCTGACAGCTACACTATATTGCTGAAAGCATAGGAACGCCTGCCTTTAACCACCTTCCTCCCACCCTATAGTACAATGATGGGCGCAAGGTGGTTCTCTCGTTCTGATAGGACGTCATATGACATCCTACCATTCTCACTGTGCATGCGCAGCTCAGGGAGCACGCACAGTGCTGCAATCCGAGGGACACAGCGGATCACGGAAAGAGCCGAAGATGTCGGCTCGGTCATGTGGTCAGCTGTGTCTAATCACAGCTGATCACATGTAAACACGGAAATGCCGGTTAGTGACAGAGAAGAGAGACGGTAATCGGCTTTCTGCGGAGGGGACATGTACACTGATCATCAGGGCACTGATGATCAATGTGCCCTGATGATCAGTGTGGCTCCAGAAGTGCCACCTGTCAGTGCTCATCAGTGTCAGTGCCCATCAGTGCCACGTGCCAGTGCCCATCAGTGCCACATCAATGCCACATATCAGTGCATACCAGTGCACATCAATGCCACATGTCAGTGCCCATCTGAGCTGCCTTTCAATGTCACCCATCAGTGCCAGTCAGTGCCACCTATCAATGCCAATCAGTGCCACCTATCAGTGCTGCCAATCAGTGCCACCTATAAGTGCCAGTCAGTGTCGCCTATCAGTGCCAGTCAGTGCTGCCTATCAGTGCCAGTCAGTGCCGCCTATCAGTGCCAGTCAGTGCTGCCTAACAGTGCCAGTCAGTGCCGCCTATCAGTGCCAGTCATTGCTGCCTATCACTGCCGCCTATCAGTGCCATATATCAGTGTCATGTATCAGTGTCATGCATCAGTGCTGCCTTTCAGTGCCCATCAGTGATGCCTGTCAATGCCCATCAGTGCAACCTACCAGTGCCTCCTCATCAGTGCCCATCAGTGACACCTATCAGTGTCCATCAGTGCAGCCTATCAGTGCCCATCACTGCAGCCTCATTAGCACACATCAGTGAAGGAGAAAAATCACTTATTTACAAAATTGTATAACAAAAACTAAGAAAAAATGTTTTTTTTTCTCAAAATTTTCAGTGGTTTTTGGTTTGTTTAAGAAAAAATAAAAATCCCAGAGGTGATTAAATACCACCAAAAGAAAACTCTATCTGTCTCAAAAAAAATTATAAAAATGTCATATGGGTACAATGTTGCATGACCGCGCAATTGTCATTCAAAGTGTGACAGCGCTGAAAGCTGGAAATTGGCCTAGGCAGGAAGGGGGTATAAGTGCCCTGTAGGCTAGTGGTTAAACGCACATGAACTTTAATTGGGTCCCAGTCTTAGTCCGTAGGGTTCAATATTGAGTTGGCCCACCCTTTGCAGCTATAACGGCTTCAACTCTTCTGTGAAGGCTGTCCACAAGGTTTAGGAGTGTGTCTATGGAAATATTTGACCATTCTTCCAGAAGCACATTTGTGACGTCAGGCACTGATGTCGGATGAGAAGGCCTGGCTTGCAGTCTCCACTCTAATTCATCCCAAAGGTGTTCTATTGGGTTGAGGTCAGGACTTTGTGCCGGCCAGTCAAGTTCCTCCACCCCAAACTCGCTTATCCATGTCTTTATGGATCTTGCTTTGCGCACTTGTGCGCAGTCATGTTGGAACAGGAAGAGGCCATCCCCAAACTGTTCCCACAAAGTTGGGAGCACTAAATTGTCCAAAATGTCTTGGTATGCTGACGCTTTAAGAGTACCTTTCACTGGAGCTAAGGGGGCAAAGCCAACCCCTGGAAAACAACCTCACACCATAATCCCCCCTGCACCTAACTTTACACTTGGCACAATGCAGTCAGGCAAGTACAGTTCTCCTGCCAACCACCAAACCCAGACACATGCATCAGATTGCCAGACAGAGAAGCGTGATACATCACTCAAGAGAACATGTCTCCACTGTTCTAGAGTCCAGTGGCGGTGTGCTTTAAACCACTGCATTCGATGCTTTGCATTGCACATGGTGATGTAAGGCTTGGATGCAGCTTCTTGTCCATAGAAACCCATTCCATGAAGCTCTCTACTCACTGTTGTTGTGCTAATCTGAAGGCCACATGAAGTTTAGAGGTCTTTAGCTATTGACTCTGCAGACAGCTGGCGACTTCTGCGCACTGCGCGCTTCAGCATGCTCTGAACCCGCCACACCAAATTTTTTTTTTTAAATGGTGTCGGGGTCCCCCAAAATCCATACCAGACCATTACCCTAGCCTGCAGCTCGGCAGGTCAGGAAAGGGAGGGCACGAGCGAGCACCCCCCATGAACCATACCATGACCTCAACAATGGGGGGTACTTTGGGGCAGGGAGCCCCCCCAAAGCCCCTTGTCCCCATGTTGGTGGGGACAAGTGCCACTTACTCACAACCGTGGCAAGTGGTTGTAAAGGTCTGTGGGAGGTGGGTTATCAGAATCTGGAAGCCCCCTTTAACAAGGGGGCCCCAGATCCCAGGCCCCCCTATATGAATGAGTATGGGGTACATGGTACCACTACCCATCCGCAAAAAAAAGTGTAGTGTAAAAAATGACAGAAGACAGTCTTTAGCAAGTCCTTTATTAAAAACAAAAATAAAAAAATGCCCTGCAAAGTAGATCCGACCTCAATCACGATGCCCGCCACAGACCGCAGACCAAAAAAAGGAAAAAAAAATGCTCCGCTATTGACTTTGGCTCCCGATTGTCTGACAGCTGTGCCGACCTGACAGTTCTTAAATATCTAAGGGGTGACATCAAACGGTGACCCCGCCCCCTGTGACATCATAATGTGCTGTGATTGGCAAACATTCCACCTGATCTTTGGAAATAGGGAAATCTGTGGTTTAGGAAATCTTTATTTTTAACAAGCATGACAGTCCTTGTTATTTATTGACAATAGTATAAAAGAGTGCAATGGCAGTGAATACCAAATAGTTGGCTCCCTACTCAACACAATGATGTGAATACAGAACAATACTGTTTTATGAACAATGTGGCTTGGATGCTGCTGAACTGGAAGTGATTGCATCCTATGGTAGGGGGGTATATGGCATCAAGGGCAGATGCTAACATCCTTTCAGTAGATGATCCCCCTTGATTATTGGATAAGAAGGATGAAACACTGCACTGATCAGAACTTGCACAGTATGCAAATTAACTGCTGGGCTGCCCTGAAGCCAGCAACCTCTCTGAATTTAGTACATGTAGTGTTGCAGAGTGCTTTGTGACAGACAAAAGGGTCCTCTTGTCCCAGGAAGCAGTTGATCTGCTGACAATTGTTAAATGAACCAATTATGGAGCAGCAACAATTACCAAGCCCCTGCTACAGATGTTAAACTTTTTTTGTATTCTTCCACCCAAAGTATTTATTTTCTGCACCGTCTGAGCCTCTCCTTTCATCACTGCAGGCCTAAAATACATTCCACCACCTGCCACCATTATCATCTCTTATCCACATGAGCACATCCAGCCCCCATTAACACCTCTTTCTACAGGTCTAGAACTACTGCCACCATTGTCAACTAGCCATCATAACCATCTCATAGGAAACCCATTGCAGTTGTTTTTTGCTTTGGCAATTTTAATTGATTATTTCCATTTCTTTACAGCTATTTCACAGTTTCAAAGGTTTTAAAATGTAACATCCTGTACCCTGCTCTAATGTTTCATAGGGTTACAGAGTTTAACCACCACTGGCATCCCAAGCCCAATTTTTCAAATCCATTTCGCAGCTGAAAATAATTTACATTTTTTAACAAGACAACATTCTGGGTTCTGCATGAATGTTTTGGTAGGATTACAGTATTTAGCATCATTAACATCCCAAGCCCATTTTTTCATCCGCTGTCTCACCATTACAAATAATTAAACTTTTTGGACAGGTAACATCCTGTGTTCTACAATAATATTTGTGTTGCATAATTATGTGCTGGCACCATTACAACTAAAAGCCTAATTCTAAGACACCTATTCACCAAAGATAAACATTTTTAGATGTGTTTTGGCTGGGTAACTAATGCACTGGAAATTCATGTTTGCATTTCATTACAATATATAGTCATTGGAAATGGACAGCTCTTTATATTTTGTCAGTGTTCTTTTAAGTCTACTCTACCACAATTTAGAATTATTTTGGATACACAGTCATCAAAGTGGTGTGACCTAACAGTGATTCTTCAATTATAAACCACCCATTCTCATTTCCTAGCTTTGAAATTGGTGGCCAAATATATACTTTACATGTTGGCAACTAATTTGTACATCTTTTTTCCTTTTGCCACAGGAGGAATACATTTTTTATTTTGTAGAAGAAAGATGGTGTCTGCCTGCTCTCTTCCTCTTCAACAAGATAACAATGTCTGCCATTGATGGTCAGGGGGAGGAAAAAGGATTAGCAGGAGAAGGGGACAGTGGTGCTAAATGGTGGGACATTGGTGTTAATTGAGGGGAGGGCAGCTGGAACTAAGTGGGGGGAGAGGGGGCATTGGTGTGAAGTGTGTGTGTGTGTGTGTTTGTGGGGGGTATTTATACTAGATCTGGCCATAGATGGATGTAAAGTTTGCTGGTTCAGCAGGGACTGACCAAATTTGGATCCATCTATGGGCAGGCTGGTCGTACAGAAGTCAGTCTCTCAGTCGACTTCTGTACAATCAGCCTGTTTTTTTCACTTGATCAGTACCAATGGCTATAGCAGGTAACACTGATCATGATGGTGGGGAACTCTTCCTGATGTCAGGATACAAAACCTCTGTGGGAGGGATTCCCAAATCCCCAATTTTATTTTAATTCAACCAGCTGGTTAAAGGAAAAAAAAATATAATTATTCCCTGCTTAAGTGGGGGAGATAGAGGGATTGGTGCTAAGTGGGATGGCATTGATGCTAAATGGAAAGAGAGAGGATTTGTGCTAAGTAGGGGCAGAAGGGGGCATTTGATGCTAAGTAGGGGGGCAGAGGTGGGGAGGATAGGATGATTCTCTGTTTATGTGTGCAGTATACCATATATGAGTGCCCTGTCTGAATGTATTGTGTACTATGTGGCATTGATGCTCAAAATAGGGGGATGAACTTGGGGGGGCATTAGTGCCCTACAGGGTGAAGGGGAGGATTAGCAAGATGATTCAGGCCTGTCTGTTTTATGTGTGCAGGGACGTTCAAGTCATTTATTATATAGTGCCCTGTCTGAATGTATTTTTTGTGTACTATGTGACTGTTTACAATGCGAAAGCTTCAAAGTCAAATACTTCTGAACAATAGTACTTGGTCATTGTGTTCTTTGGCATTTCATGTGCTGAACGTTCACAGGAATGACTGCTGTGGGCCACTGCCTGTCATGGTTTGCCCATTTTTTACAGGGATTGAAGGACTGGGCTAAGTGGAATTGGATCATACTGGCTTAAAGTCTTCTGGAGATGCCATTGGTTTTATGTTGCAGAAACTTCATTATCCATGCTGTTCCATGCAATAACTTCTGTTGTCTGTTCATATATGGTATGTGTGTAGGGACCACCTTCAAGTCAAACGTTTGCTGTTTATATAATAAATGAACAAATTTCTGAAAGTGGTAACTGCATTTATTTTTCAGGAAACATATTTCTCCCCAGCTACATGTTTTTATACACATGTTTATCCCTTTGTGTGTATTGGGACAAAACAGCAAATTGACATAATTCACACAAACCTCCAATGCCTGGGAAAGCTTC